CAGACTGCAGGAGCGACTTCTCTTTAGATGTAAATATAATTGTATCGTCATCTGCTAACAGAATAGTGGGATTTTTTGTAATCTTTGGTAGGTCATATTTACATAGTAGGTACGTTTTTTTTTCTTGTACGCTTATATCTTTCAAACTACACAACGGATTTTAATGCGATTTCCACCACTTGAGAGAGTGATTCAAGAGGTGGGTTTATAGATGTCAGGCCCGGTTTAAAAAAATATCCAATCCGTTTAAAACGAAAAAAAACCGATTATAACAATTTTTTTTCGATTTAAAACGGTTGGTGTTGATGACTAGGTATGTTTTCATAATTATAACTACATTTTCTTGATTTTACCGAGGTAAGGATATGACGGAGTACACTGTAAACTGTAAAGATTTTTTATATGTGTGATATACTGATAATTATATACTTAGCGGGTTTAGTTCTAATTGGGCCGTCCGACCAAGCGTAGGTATTACCTACCTAAATTATAAAACTCTATTGATAAGTTAAAAACTCTGTGTTAGTACATACATATTTTTATTGTTTTCAAAGATTAAGAAATAATCAATTTGATTCGGTTTAAAACCAAACACAAACTCACGCACTTTCGTTGACCGTCGGCACCGGCGCGACGGCCTTTAAGATGTAACGTTGTCTCTTTCATGCGCTAGTAAAACGGTCGGCATTGTGTTAATGATGTCTTCAAATCTAGTGTGTGTAATATAATATAATAAATAAGTATAGGTATGTAGTATGTAGGTACATACTTAAGTTTTCATGTAGTAGGCAATGTAGGTAGGTACTTTCTATTGATTTTCTATAAACTAGTCAAAATATAACATGACCATAAATTGCCCACAATGAAGTGTAAAACACAGTTCTTTTATTTATGTAGGCGAGTTTTCAACCGCTTAAAACGATTTATTTGGGGTTTAAAACAGCAACATTTTTTTTAAAACGTTTTAAATCGGTTGTTTTACATGTGGGTTTTACCTACATATAGATAGGTTTATATGAAGGTGTAATACATGTATATCAATGGTAGAGAAAAGCCGAGAATTTCAAATATTTGTAATGTGAAGTCGTAAAAAACATGATTTTGTGCGCTTACATTAACGCCCTACATCATAATAATTTACCTCCTATAGAATTGTATATCTTAAAATATTTACAAAAAGTCCTCGATGGTATATGTTTGTATGGCTCCTAAGGATAACTTACAGTAACCATTTTTTTTTTATATATTACAAAAAAAGGTAATTTACGAATCTATTTTGAACAATACAATATTATTCCTTATCCAAAAAGATATGTTAGATACGTTGTGCATTAAAATGTAGCTCAAAATTGAATTTTACAGCATATCATTAAAATGAATATCTGAGTAGATATCAGAGATTTAAAATGCGTTGGCAAAGCGGCCGTGACCACGATAGGCCGTACGTTTGTCCCGGGCGGCAGCAGCCGGTACGAGCGTAGCGGGCCTATAAACATATATAAAGATGTCTTAATTACTCTACATTAGTAATATCTACATTGTATCTGTGCGAATCCAAAGCGGATCGCTAGTTAATATAAATATTAAATAAAAGCGGTCCCAATACAATGCCTTGCGGTATTCCTAACTTAGTGTCTCTATAGTCAGACATATAATAATTTTCATTTCTTACTTTTAAGCAGTCGTGTTATCTGAGTAGGTACAATGTTTTCTTTTTGAGAGATAATCTAATAAGATTTGATGCATTACCTCACATGCCATACGAATTCAATTTACTTAACAAAATCTCATGGTCCCCCCAATCAAATGCTTTAGACAGTACATTTTTATCCACACTATCTGTGACTATTTAAAAATATTATAAATTGCCTATTAATGGACTCTAAAACCAGTTTATTCTTTAGCGAATAAATTGTGTTTCTGGAAAGTTGTAAATGACCTTTTGACCTTTTAATTATTTTTTTAAATGTTTGGTATCAGAGCAATAAGTCGATAACAATCCATAGAATGTGGATCACTCATGGCAAAACTAGGCATAAAAATTAACATTGTGCGCTGGCGAAACTGTGGCCTATGGCCTCCAATACGCTAACGCCGTACGGACTGCCCTGCGTTCATATATTCAATAATTCAAGATAATGCACTCCTCGTGTCGTGTACCAAATTATGGTCTTCAGCAGTGTGTGCGGCTTCGTGGACTTTTTGTTTGCAGTGTCGCGGATCTTATCTGTCCGGCGAATAGGATACCTTTTTGAATCCCCTTCGGGCCATCACCCCGTCGGGGTTTGCGCCGTGTCGGAATCGGACCGACTAAAACCACACGGTATGCCACTTTGCGCCTGTAATAGGAGAGATCCAGGAACTGCTGTTATTAAGACATCCGGACCCCTCCCAGGGCCTGCCCGCAACGGCGGGCACCACCTTCGTGTAAATTCTCTATTTAGGCGACGTCCGGCACACGCGGACGTAGCCTCCTCGCGGCTGACCGTTATGGCGGGTGGAGGGGAAAAACCCGTCCGATCTACCCGCAGCCACACTCAGGGCGGCATGAGGCGGTGGTAAGCGCGCCTCCGCCGCCCGGTTCGACGGCGACGGATTGGGTCCGAGTGGATATTGTCCTCCCGGGCCCTCTCCGCAGCGTCCTTCTGCGAGATGACGTCTTCGCAGAAGGATGCGACCGCGGTAAAACATCTGTCACTGGCCATGGAGCGTATGACGGCCGGTAGCGAGAGATCCTCCCGATGACTGCAATGAGAACCCGGCGCTGCGGCGCCCAAGCCAGGCAAATTGCCAGCGTGTGTTGAGCCGAGTCCTCACTGCAAACGCAGATGTGACAGGTGGGACTCAATTCCCTCCTAGCGACCGAGTGCAGGTACTTCCCGAAGCAGCCGTGCCCGGAAAGGACCTGCGTCAGCCGGAAGGAAAGGGTCCCGTGCTGCCGCCCTGCCCACTTGACTATGACCGGCCGGAGCGCCTCCACGGCGGCCAAGCCAGCACGTGGAGCCTCCAGGCGGAATGACCAACGAGCCATCGTGGCTCGGCGAGCGGCCTCACACCACTCGCGTATCTCTTCGGGCGGGGGCCGAATGCCGCTCTTCGCCCGGAACTCAGCCGTCCGCCGATATACTTCGGCGAGCACTTCCGCCTCATAATCCCACGGGGGTGTTCCGGCCAATGCGCACGTCGCCTCCGTCGAAGCGGTGCGGTAACCGCGTATGGCTTTAACCGCCAATATCCTCTGAGGGCGCCAAAGGCGTGCCCTATTCTGAGCGGTCAGAGCCACCGCCCACAACGGTGCACCGTATAGTGCCATTGACCGGACAACCCTCGTGTACAGCCGTCTTGTAGGGACGCTGGGTCCACCTAGATTTGGCAAAAGTCGCCCAATTGCAGACGCAACGCCGACCACCTTTGAAGCAAGCTGTCGGAAGTGCTCCTCGAAGAGCCACCTCCCGTCAAGGATCAGGCATATTTCATCTGAGCCTGAACCGGTACGAGAACCGAATTGACCACTATTGGGGCACCGGGGGGGCGGACCACGACGAGGCCCATGGAATAAGAGGGCCTCCGTCTTATCCAGGGAAACCCATAAGCCCAGCGCCTCAATGCGCCCGACCATCAGAAAGACTCCCCTGGTGCGACCTTGAAAGTGCGACCCCCGGGCCGTGACCAAAGTGTCATCGGCGTAGGCGCATAGGATACCTGTCTCTAGGGCTTAGGCCGAATTCCCTGTATTTTTTAATGTCGCTCATTTCTTAACTATGGGTAGCTAGCTCTGTTTTGTTATTAGGTAGTTAAATAGTTATTAATTACTTTGTGAAATCAGTCTCCATATTCATTATTCTTAAAATAATTTGTTGGGTGGTCTATATTGCCGAAACAAAACAAACAAATAAAACTTATGAAACTATGTATTATGTAAGAAAATAAATTGATATGTAATACATCTATGACGACATACTATATAAACTTAAAATAACAAATGAACTTGTGAAACAATAACACCTAACTAGCCATCAATACCTAATTTTAGGAATGATCAATACTTTCTACAACTTCAACCATTCTTTTAAAAAGTTTTATGTGTAGCTGAAAAAAAAAGGTTAAAACCTTTGTAAGTTAAAACTGGCTGGCTCAAGAACACTAATTCATTTGTTTAAATACATTTGAATCTAAATCATCATCATCAACAGCCTTTACTAGTCCACTGCCAGCAGTGGACTAATAAAAACATAAGACATCACTAAATTTCCAAATAGAAATTGTAACTAAATAAATGTATTATGCTTTATTATCTATATAATATACTAGAAAATAATTGAGGTACATTTGCAATATTAGTAACAAAAAATTACCAAAAAAATAGTAAATATTTTTCTCTGTTAAATTTACAACTAAGAGTGGAATTTATTCTACAAAACGCACATTTTCTGCTAAACTGCAATACAAAATCTATTTTTATTAACACAACACTATTACTATAAATGTAAACAAGGATATTTAAAAACCATGTATTATTGTTTCACTTTATACTACATCTTATATTACTTATCATATACTTATTTAAATTGGTTTTTTTAATATCAAATCCTAATAAACATACTCATTTTCTACCAATTCTCGTGCCCAGTTAAAGGTATCACTAACTGAGACATGTTTACAAACAACTTAATTAGCTATCATGCCTAAAAAACTTGTCTTGTTGACAAAAGGGGAATTTACCACAGAATTAAAATACATATATGTACATTGTAGACTAAAAACTGAATGACAATGTCAAACTTTGACAACATAAAAGACATTCCCTCCAAAATTATGCATGACACTTAGACATTTAAAATAAAAAATAGAACATACATAAATGTATTAGTCACTCATTAAAAGAAATATGGAATAAATGCATCATTATATTAAAAATATAGTCATCTGACAACACAGCAAATTATATTACATGTTGGCTTCAATAACATTTAGAGAATGGAACATAAACAAATAACAAGTTATTCTGTTTTATTACTTTCAACTTTCAAATCTTTCAGTTTTAAAACTACAAAGTCTGCGTTTTCAGCCTTTTTGGTATCCTCATCAGGTTTATCATTACTTTTTGGTTCTGGTGTATCTGTATCTTCACTTCTTGTGATGCTGCTTTCATCATCAGATGACTGGTCCTGTGTATACAAGCTACATTTTGTTCTAACAATTTCTTGTGCTTCTGCAAACTTCGATTTCCATAGTTCTGCATCTGTGGATGATTGAATTACAGGTCACTAAACCATAAAATATAACCTGAACAAGAACTTTATAATGTAATTCCATAAGTTTGCAATTTTTTTGCTGCTCCTTTAATACAATAAATATAAGATTTGTTGATATATTTAATGTATTTTTTATTGTCTACTTCCTGCAAATGCATTACATAAGGCGGGCATAATGCCATTGGCATTTTCTTCCAGTCAACCTTTGGGTGATGCAGTTGCAAGATGTTATACTACATGGATATATATATAATTTATATGTACTATATATTATTATAAATATAAGAAACATAATCATACATATATGTATATACCTACAGTAATGAAGACACAAATAGATATATATATATATATATTTCAATACTACATAAAATAGGGAGTACAAATAACTTTGTAATATATGGTAAAATACATTTTCTCAACAGGAAGAAACCCTCAGCTTCCTCGATAAGAAATAAATTAATGAATCTAGTGTTAAGAATGTTTTGTTGATAATATAAATGTATAATAATTATAAATGCATTAGAAACTTCAATTAAAATGTCATTTAAAGTTTAAGTATTTAAAACAAAGAGATTCAAGTAAAAAAAATATGCATCACAAAAATTCGAGTAAATGATATTGTAGTACAAATGGTTATTTGACAAATGCTGAAACTCGAAATATAAGCTATTGAATGAACATCTCACAGTAAGAATTCCAAATATAACAACAAAACTAGATCTCTCATTTTAGTTGACTTACTTTGGGGGTTTCCGAACTTAATAGCAAGTAATTCTTGCTTCATTTGCTCATCAGCATAGTCAGCAAACACTGACCAATTGAAGGCCTTATCTGAACCACAATGCACATTCATCCTAATGTCCGGTGTGATAAAGTGATTGGCACATACTTTGAGTGTTTTATCACGTCTCATCACCACTCGGACAGTATTGTTTATTTTGTGACGAAGAAGTTTAATGTCTCCTGTACCACGTTCCTGCAAAAAGTATAAATATTTTTTTGTTTATAAAATTTAATGTCATTAATAATTGAGTCTGAATATATGTCTATATGTATGTGTCTATTCTAATGTAGAAGTAACAATAGAATTTAACCTTGAACAGTAAACAATAGAAATCTACAGTCACTTTCTTTCTAACGAGAAATTTCATTTTAGGTGCTTATTTACATTTTTCTAATGTTGAAAGGCACTTATTACTTCTTTAACCTTAAATATTTTCTCTCACCTTCCATTCATGGTCTGCGGTGTCGTATCTATAGAGCCTTGCACGAATTTTAACCAATTCCTCTTCATCTTCCTCATTTGTTTGAATATCTATAAGGGGCAACGAAACAATGGGTTCGAAATGAGGATCGTGTTCTGGAGTTTCAGCATCTTCAGATTCGCTGTTACGCCGAACGCTTTCATCTATCTTCATAAGTAAGAAAGAAAAACCTTTTTAAATTACAATCCTTTTATAAAGTAAGATAAGTTAAAAGTTGTTTTGAGCTTACCGGTGACGACATCGCAAATTAATTTTCAAAGAAAATTTCCGAAAATTATAAACAATCCAAACGAAGTTCGGTTAGTGAATGAACTGCCTAATGAAATTTAATTATGAATGAATGAATGTTGAAATCTTTTTTATCTGTGGTTGATAGATAGAATTCATCATCATCAATTTTAATGCAATACTTAATATTGGATTAAGTCACATCACATCACATCAGCAGCCTTAAATAGCCCACTTCTGAACATAGGCTAAAGGTTTTGGCCTACTATAAAAAACTGGCCAAACGGTCGTTATAGGGTTAGTGTTAAGTTTTCCTTCTCTTTGCAGTGCTGTTGTTCTGCGTAGTGGTCACGCAGTCGAATTTTACGACATCCACGGGATGAATAAAGTTAGTCAGCAGTGACACTCCATATTCTTAATCCGTCACCACATGGATGATTGGACTAACTAATAGAGACAAACACAAAAAATATTTGACTTAAAAAAATGTTATTACTCGCCAACTAGATTATTATATACTATGGGTGTGTCAACCGAGCAGATGGGTCACCTAATGATAAGTCACTGAAGTCACAAGGGGTCACCTAGGGTCAAGGGGGGGGGGGGGGATTGGGCCCCGGTAACCTTACTCACTCGGTGAAAAGCAACGAAAGAATTGCTTAACGCAGGTTTCCTGTAAGGCCGTGGTATCATTCCGGTAGAGTCAGCCCATTCGTGACAAAGCATGCATTGTGTGACCCGTAGAATAAGAAGCTGTTTCATTTCTAATTCCACAAACAATCCGTAACATTCGCGAACTTGTCTTGGTACAATCGGTCATGTTGACGAACCGAACGAACCATAAAGTGCAGAAAAATCTAAACTTTTAGCCTATCTGTCTTAATTATATTTAACTCGTTCTTGAACTTCCTACGCAGAGTATTTCATGTTTGGATTTCCAACATAAATTATGAATAATAAATATAAACATTCAAAAGTACTCCTTCACTCGACTACCTTGGGACTAACCGTTTCGATCTTCTATGTCTAATTTCATAAACCCACGAAGTCCTTGAATCAGCTTTTATGTTTGAACTATAATTTAAGTTGAATTCGGATGTTTTCCTTGATGGTTGTAACTAGACTTGCAACGAATAGTATATTCGGCAGTATACCGAATACCGAATATTCGGCGAGGCCCCTGACCGAATAGCCGAATATTAGGCAAAAGTATTCGGCTGGATTTTAGCGCCAAAAACTTGTACAGACGTGCATTAAATTATGTACCTGTTTTATGTACCAATGACTACTTAATAAATGATTCTAAAAGAAATGAGAACCTTACCCTTCTAAATTTTGATTACCACAATAATTCAAATACATAGAATCCTCCATTTTTCCTATTCAGAAGATGATTATGTACCTGTGTTATGCACCAATGACTACTTAAATGATTATAACAGAAATGAAAATATGAATATATACGTAATCAATCGATTTTAATTTTTCATTTTACCAATTATTTCTCAATGACAAAATATATTATTTAAGTATTCGGTATTCGGCCGAATAATATGTAGATATTCGGTATTCGGCCGAATATAATAAAAGCAGCCGAATAGGCCGAATACCGAATAGTAACCGAATATTCGTTGCAAGTCTAGTTGTAACTTAGGTCTAAGTAATGTTGCCATTTTAAAATACAATTTTTTACTAGATTTCATTCATGGTGACTTGGTGACTATTGTTCTGTGAACTTCTGTGATGAAACACAATACAAACAGATTCATTCATTGATTACTGTCAAATCAAAATATCAAGTTTGTCTATTGGGATTAACATTTGTATTGATACAAACAGAAGTGTTTGTTTTTTTAATGTTAAATTGTTAACCTTCAGTCTCGTATAATTAATAACGGTGCAAAAAAAAAAATACAAGTAGTGGAGAATAGGGAAAAAGTAGATACGGTATATATAAAAAGTCAATGACTTCATTTGAGTTTATTTTGACGACCTATTTTTAACAAGTTTATTTTAAGATTTTTTCCTATTTTAGCGCAGTTCCGGCTCATTTCCAGATTTTGTTAGACTTCCAGATGTGCCTCATGGTACAAAGTTGTCGCTCTCTAGTCTCGTTATTTAAATAAAAAATATTTTGTAGACACTGAACTAATTCAACTCTGCAAGCTGTTAAGTTTTTAAACAAATTTAGGTAAAAGTGAATGTCGATAAATACAGAATAACTGTGACTTTAGTTTACCTTTAAAGATTTCTGATTGAAAAAAAATTCATATTAACTGTATAAGGCAATCCAACTTTCAAGTTTAACATTCCTCATCACACTATAAGACAAGTAAGTGTTGAGATAGCCTTTAAAATTTGTGTGTTTAAATTTTTATTAATTGAGTATAAATTAATTTCTAGCTGGAAGTCTCCTCCGTAAATAATGAATACTTTTATAAAATAAATTCGAATGTATAGAACTATCTAAAATCTAACTAGTGTTAGCTTAATTATTCTTACACCAATTATTTTATATACTTCTGTAATCATAATTAAAACATACCCCTCAACTAATAAACCTCCACATTCCATATTAAATATTAGATTATATAGAAATGAAAACTATCAATATATTGTATTACTTTCCATTTGTATTTATAAAAAAAAAAATTGTACTGTTAATGAATCTAACTATAAAATGAATGTTATTATATATTTCTACTAACATACATACATGATGTAATTCTATGTATTTAAATTATAAATGTTTAGAATTCAGATTTCAAAATGCAGAACCTAGGCAAAGTTATAACTGAGCAGCTGCGTAATCCAAATGAGTTGGATATTAATCTCAAGATGGAGTTTGGACCTTTTGAAACGGTCAATAAGTGGAAACGTATGACTGAATGCTTTCAATTTGTTGGAGCCAGGTGTGTATAATAACATCTTGTAAAAGAAAGTTGCAGGTGACTTCTTGTAACAAATCAAATACTATTCTTCTGTGTCTGGGTGTAATTTATCCATAATATGTATGTATTCAAGAAATATTTTAGTATCCGCAGTCTGCTCACTACAGTGCAGACTTGCCCTAGTTTGGAATCAGACGCCAGTGTGTGAGATGTGTGAGGTTATTATTATATTATTAATACTCTGATAGGCGATAAGTGGGTTACATTGCCTCAGAGCTATAAGTAGGTCTTCTCAGTTTGCATATATGTTTATCTGGTACAGGGTAAATATATAGCAATTTATGTGAAACTTAAGTATACTGTTAAACTCCAACATCAGGAACCCCGAACTGCTTCTATATCACTGTAAAATGCCCTAGAATATGATCATCTATATATATATATATTATATTAATGTTAAATTGTTTGTGTACGCTGTGTCAAAAACTCAAAAGCTCAAATTTTGACATGATATACAACCCGCTTCTAAGATGTGTTTGTTTCTATTTTTCAACCACAATATGCTACAGTGTAGCATGACAGAGTTCAACTCGTTAAAAATAATAATATAATAAGGCTATACAAAACTACTAATTGGCCTTATTATATCATTAAAGGATCTTATAAAACTTCTATAATAAATACACAATACAATACATATAAGATTACTTGCCCTGATTGACTGATTCATTGATGCAGATCCTAAACTGCTGGAGCTATAAACTTGAAAATTTAGCCGCTGATGCTTTTTATGTTGTAAGTACCAAGATAGAATTTTTGGCCATTTTACCCCTTAAGGAGGTAAAATATGGGATGAACGGGTGTATGTAGGTTCGTTATTTTTAAAGTTAGAAACAAAAAAAAAGAAATAATCACAAGAGGAAAGCTGCGGTCAATAGCTAATTTATGTATGATCATATGGGTTCTTAATCTATCTGTTGTTAACCTTATAGAGTTTCAGAGTCTAATTTTCACTTACAACATTTACAGGAGGAGTAAACACACAGCTGTGGCCTACAAAAACGCCATATATGTGTTTGGTGGTGACAATGGTAAATCTATGCTAAATGACTTGATACGGTTTGACATAAAAGAGATGTCGTGGACGAAGACTGGCTTTATGGGAGTTCCGCCGGCTCCGCGGTATCATCATTCTGCTGTGGTATGTAACTTTTGGTATTCTGATTGAAACGAAGTTCCTTATCGCGCGTTACACGCTCAAGGATTACGGATCTACGGATTACACGCGGATGGGAGACCAAAAAATGGGTAACAAGACTTTTTTCCGACACTAGCAAACGTCTACGAAAAAACGAAAAAAAACTTCGTTCCGACCGGGTTCCATAGACCTCTAACGTCGTTTTTCAAATACAGGATGTTTTCCTATTTGAAAGACTTGTCAATTGCACAGTTCCACTCTGGGATCAGTTCCTCACGTCTGGGATTCCTAGTCAGCATCAAGGTTTTATCAGAAGTAAATAATCTGTCCCCAACATTTTCTCATCTCTGACAACCATGGGAGACACAGAGAACAGAAATTGGGGGATCTTAGGTCTTTTACTTGGTCAGTTCATCTTGTGATATAAATACTTAGGCTTTCGATTTAGTTGATCATAAAACTTAATGTTAGAAAATTTAAATCAATTTTTTCTTGTACTCTACATATAAGGATCCTCAAGTTCCTTTTTACCCGACTGCCAAGAAAGGATAATGTTTTTAGTAACATGATTAAAACAAAAAACATTAATTTGTTTAAGAAATGAAGTTAATCTTTGTATTGTGCAGGTACATCGTTCGTCTATGTTTGTGTTTGGTGGCTACACAGGAGATATCCTCGCAAATTCCAATCTGACAAATAAGAATGATCTCTTCGAGTACAAGTTTTCAAGTGCACAATGGGTGCAATGGAAATTCACAGGCCAGTAAGTAATTCTCTCTTTACCAACTTTAATTTAAAAAAAAACATATGCTATGTATTTAAAGTCTAAAAGTCTAAGTCTAAAACGCTTCCAGCCATTTTCCAAAGGCTATCATCTGTGTAGCAATAGTTTTGTTTTCTAGAAAAAATAGGAGTTGTGGAGTGTAGTACAATCATTATAGTAAAAGTCAGAATATTGATGTGTGTAATAATTACTACTTTTTTCAGTAACTGTATTTAATATATCCCATTGCGGCTAACAAATGCTTTTTATCTAAACTGACAAACTCATCGTGACCCGGAAAAAAAAACAAGCAGAAAGAAACTATAGGCTCTTGTCTGTCTTCATGATTTTGATTGAGGTGGTAACCTCATATTCGTTGAAGTTCAAGGGACCTAGCCGTTATAATTATCGATTTTTCCATACTTTATTATATTCGATACGAAACGATTTAGTTATACATTATTATTATTGTACCAGATGCCCCGGTCATTTCACCTAATTAATCTTAATACGCGAAAATCAGAATATTGTGGATATGTATTGTCCATTCGTAACCTTTATTACATGCCTTCTTTAATTTGGGGATCTGAGTTTATCGTACTGACACATGGGGCGAACATCATTAATGTTAGACAGGTAGGAAAATATGTGTTTTTTCCAAATTTTCTCATCGTTTAATCTTTCCCTGGACTTCCACTAATATTGCAAGATTAAAATTATGTTGTAGTTTTTATTTAATTAGTTACTCTGTATCAGGGAGCCAGTACCTCGATCCGCGCATGGAGCCGCGGTCTACGATGACAAACTGTGGATATTCGCAGGGTACGATGGCAACGCGAGACTTAACGATATGTGGACTACTAATTTATTGGTAAGTAATTAATTTATTAAAATATACATATATTAAATGATTTAGACTTTACACAACAACAGTAGGTAATTGTTCACTTGGGCACTTTTTTGTATAAATTTAAAAAATATTTTATAATGTATTTCTTATGATACAGGTATTATCACCTAGTTTAACAGACAGTGTATCTAATATACTCGTACATAGTTATGTTACTATTGTTAATAAAGAATTCACTGTACCAGTTTAATTTTGGTAAAATAAGCTTATTATTATTGTTTATGACTGATATGATGAAACTGAGAACAAGGGAAAATTGATTTACATTTATAAGAAAAGATATAACGCTTCGGCATCTTTATCAAATAGTGATGAAGCTAATTAGCGGATAATAAGGTGCGATGTTCTCTGACCGTCCGCCGTACACGACCGACGCTCGACGCGTAACCGCCGCAAGTAGCGTACGAATGTAAACAGGGAAACAGCGTGTGGGAACAAGCGTCTCAGAGAACCTCGCGCCTAAGGGCGTAGCCATTTAAATATGTATAACAACTAGACTATAGATAAAGGAGGAGGGTAATTAGACTAGGTGAAGAACAATGAACCGAGGTATTAAGAAGATAATATGTAGGTATAGATCGGCTCAATAGTCCGCCGACTACGTCCATTTAACGAAAGAAAAATGCAGCTTTTTACAATTTACCGTGACTTAGGATAAGTTTATTGAGGTCAGTATTAATTTTTTTAAGGTTGTAAAATATATTTTTCAATTCTTGCAACTATATTTTTAAATTTGAAGGGCGAGACTCACCAATGGGAGCGCGTAGAACAAAAGGGGCAATGTCCTCCAACTTGTTGCAACTTTCCCGTAGCTGTGGCCCGCGGCAAAATGTACGTGTTCAGTGGACAGAGCGGCGCCAAGATCACCAACGCGCTTTTCCAGTTCGACTTTGAGACCCACACGTGAGTATTGTCCTTTATCGACATTTTTTTTTTACTAGCATCACCAATTATGTGACTTAACAATTGAGGAAGCTGCTATGTCTCCTTTTGTGAGGGAGAGTCCTTTTAAGGTTGTAAGTTGTAAGGCTCGACTGCCTCGGTAGCGCAGCGGTAGTCTGGTTACCATCATACAAGCTCCGCCTAGTTTGGAATCTGACGACCGCGTTTCAGATGAGCGAGTCCATTATTATTATCGTCTGCCGTGCTGCGTAGTCCACTCCAAGACCTAACACTATTGAATGCGCTCTGTGCCCTCGCGCAGGTGGAGCCGCGTGTGCACGGAGCACCTGCTGCGTAGCGCGGGCGGCGCGCCGGCGCGGCGCTACGGCCACGTCATGGTGGCGCACCGCTCGCACCTCTACGTGTTCGGTGGCGCCGCAGACAATACGCTGCCCAACGACCTGCACTGCTACGACCTCGACACGCAGATATGGTACGTCTCTGTCCTTGTCCCTCTACTTGTGACAGAAATTCTACTTTCCTCTAAGATGAAGAAGACTCCTGTAGAATCATGCAGTCACTGAAGAAGAAAATCTTATGTAGCTGCACTGTTCTAACTAAAGTCAAAAATTCTGATACGATTTAGTCGAAGTAGTTTGAAAATTTTTATTTAACAACTGTGTTACTAAAACTAAAAAAATATTAAAGTACTATCATATATACGTAACAAAATATTGATTTAAAAAAATGTGCCGTCCTCGAAGTATAGGAGTTGAATATAATCGTATACGTTTAATTAACAAGAGGAAATATTGAAATAGATATACCGTTGGGCAGGTCCGTGGTGCAGGGAGCCAGCGACTCGCAGGTGCCGTCGGGGCGTCTGTTCCACGCGGGCGCGGTGGTGGACGACGCGCTGTACATCTTCGGTGGCACCGTCGACAATAACGTGCGCAGCGGGGAACTCTTCCGGTTTCAGGTACCATTTTATTTTCAATATAAAACAATAGTAGATTAGTAGCCAAGGGATGTGAGGCATCAATTGCAGCCCTAGATATTTAGGATAGTTCGAGGGTGCAATTGATGCTTACACCCGAGCTAACTATTCTGCTTTACATCTCGATTGTGAGGTAAGTAGAAAAAAACCGGCATTATAAGAATAAAACATTTTATTTGTTGCAATTTATAGTGAAATGAGAACAACTTTCAAATTTTAAGGACAGGTGTTTTTTTTTAGGTATGTTAATAGTTTGAGATTGTGATATTTGTTGATCATGGACAAAATCTGACGGGATGAAGCTTTCTTCAGCAGAAGTTGATGGTTGCGGATCATCTCTTGAAAGCTGAAAAGTTTTCTATTCCCGCCATTTTTCATTAAAAGGAATCAAGTAAAGAACTTTTTAAGTTTTTTTTTTATACTCACACGAAGACAAGGCTGAATAGCAAAGCGACCTCTTTGGTCATTGGGCTGAATGCATGATGTCTATTGGTAGTATGATGGTTAGATGTACGCGAACTTTTTGAAAGAAAGAAGTGTTTTTTTAATTACTTACCGCCCTAGGGCTTTTCTAGCTACATTATTACCCTAGAGCGCTAATTAGTCACTTACAAGCCCCATTTGGAGGTAATAAGAACCTACTTACCGAACATAAGAGATGTAAAATAATATTTACATAGGTGTGACAGAGTGGGCCACAACTTTCTGAAACACTCTGAACTTTTATTTTTAAACTCAATTTCCGATGAAGATGAAGTTGTAACTTGTCAAAGCAAAATATGCAAAAGTTGTCTCTGCCTATATTGGGCGGGCATTCGCCGTGAACACATACATTATACGATATATATGAATATGTGTGTGTTAAAAGTTAAACGAATCCCCCCCCCTCCCTTCCCCCCCATGCATTCGTCAGACAACCTTCCCGGGTAATATTTAACGATCAAACCTTAAAAAAAACTTTAATTTCCAGTTATCGAACTACCCTCGGTGTACATTACACGATGACTTCGGACGCATTTTGAAATCCCATCAGTTCTGCGATATACAGATTCTAGTGGGACCTGAACAAACATCCATTTTAGCACACCAGGCTATCCTGGCGGCTAGATCGCAGTACTTAAGAGCTAAGATAAAGTAAGATATATTTTTTGGTAATAAATAATTTAAAACTACCTAAGTGACGACTCACTTAGGTTGTTTTTTTAGGGTAGTCGTATATTTTAAACTTTACATTCAAAGATGCCAAAGATGGCAACGTAGCAAAGGTTGCCATCTTTGGTTGACAAGCTGAGCTAGATTTTAGAAACCAGTAACTATTTTTTTATGGGTTATACCCAAAACTTACATGGCAGTCATTTTGCTTAAACAAAAATTATAGCTTTAAAAATTTAAGGCCAAACTAAGTGTATAAAGTATGTGTATTGTGGTATACGGTGTATCATTTTATGTTAACTGTTCCACTTATATGTTACCATTTAGTTAAAACATGTACATAATAGATAATTGATGCACTACCCTGATAAGCTTACATAAATTGCTTTAACTTGATATTTATCAAAAAACATATATTTGTGTTTTCATATTATTATTATGACTTATATACAGTAACCGATCGAAGTGGCGTGCAATAGCAAAGACCTATGTCCAGCAGTGGACTGCGATAGGCTGATGATGATGATGATGATGATATATCTTTTATACGTGCAAGTTTTTTTGAACCTGTAGTAATGATAATATTGACTTTCCTATTAGAAATTTACTGTTCCCAACTTTCTACTAAAGTTGGAAATTAAATGCACTTTCTACCTGCGTATAGAGAAGCCCGCGAAGAGCAACTGAAGCGTATTGCTGCTGGCGAAGAGAACGCTTCTGAAGTGTACTCGTACACAGCGACTCCTCAACTCACCGTGTTACTGCCTGAAGCCACCCCGGAAGCCTTCAATATGGTGCTTAACTACATATACATGGATAGAATTGACCCGACTGAGAAAGGTGAGATATTTTTACAGACGCGGGGGCGGAATTAGAAACGGTCACTTGCTGAGACGACAATTTTTACACACCCAGATTAACAGACGTTCTTGACGTAGCTTAGTTTACCCAATTTCCCTTTTATTTATTTTTCTTGTCTTCACGAAAATCGTTAATGTCGTGGGACGCGTGCACAAGTATTAATGATTAGTCTCTTTAAAAGCCCAGAAACCTTTCAAGAAGAGTAAACATATTATCTCTACCATAGGACGTTAAAGTGCCAGTAAGTTTAGACTTACTGACACTTAAGGGTCCGATGCAATTCTGTTATCGAAAAAATACCCTCGAGCGCTTCTAAGAATTCTCTTAACCTCGCCCTTGGCAACTTTAGAATATAAGTTCCTATGATAAAACACTGGGAGTTAAAAAAACTGCTTTTGAATTAAATAGGTGTTAATTTATTCATAATATTAATATTTTAATAATTAGAAAATATGATTTTACAAAAAGGCGTATGTATGCATGACGTTGAGTGTTTTCACCTTTTTATGTAAAGTTATAACTTTACGTCTAAAATTTCTCCAAATTATGTTGTACCTTATAGACGAAGATCCGGCTTCTCCAGCCACAGTTCTACTAGTTCTGGAAGTACTACGACTAGCTCTCCGATTGAACATTCCGCGTCTACGAGGCTTGTGTGCGCGGTACCTACGCGCTAACCTGTGCTACGGCAACGTGCTACATGCGCTACACGCCGCACATCACGCTAATCTCAACTGTATTAAAGAGTACTGTCTCAGGTACTGTATCCAAGAATATAAAAAAAAAAATTGTGGTAAATAAAAATGGTATCAAATGGAGATTGTGTGTTTGAGTATCTCTTAGGCTTTCGATACTGTTTCCATTCTCCTACAACTTCATATTTTTGTAATAAATTACTTGTGATCAGCAAAGTGCTTCCAATATTTTTCGTTCTTATTACATCAATTAAATCATTCAAACATGATTCTAATTCCTAAAGCTTTTAATTTTGCTTCTCGTTTAGTGTACTCCAAGGTAGCTTTTTGGGACCGACTCTTTTTCTTCTTGAATATCAACTACTTGCCGATTTAAGTATGTTACGGATTGTATTTTTATTTTATTTCGTTAGGTTCGTGGTGAAGGACTACAATTTCACTCCAATAGTGATGTCTCGCGAATTTGAAGAAATGGAAAAAAGTTTGATGGTTGAGGTGATCAGACGTCGGCAGCAACCACCTCCTAAACAAGCTAGCGCTGCAGCACAGCATGAGTGCGACGAAGAAATAATAGGTATTGTACTTTTAAACCATTTTAGGCTAATCGAAAGAGGTGGCTCAGAGCAAATACCAGAGATATTTTTATAGCAATTATTTTTATTATTCCCACGATTCCTTTCCTTTACGGTATATAATCGGGATTATATATTTGTAATCGAATCAAGTGTTTAGGTATAGCTGTTCTTATCCGTGATGTCAGTTTGAAATAATCCGAATAGCGAATTACACAAAAAGATGATGTATGAAGTAGTAATGGAAGGGCAAAGCTAAACGCTGGTGTCGGTGCGGCAGGCACGACCCTGGAGCAGGACATGTGCGTGCTGCTGTCGGGCGGCGCGGAGCTGTCGGACGTGCGCCTGCGCGTGGGCGGCGCGCTGCGGCCCGCGCACCGCTCCGTGCTGGCCGCCCGCGCCGCCTACTTCGAGGCCATGTTCCGCTCCTTCTCGCCGCAGGACAACATCGTCAACGTGAGTACCTCGACCGTCTTCCTAGTCCTACCGCATTCGTTCTATTTCAATTTCATTTCTCTTTTTTTTTTTGGTTTTATGAACCTATTTAATTTCACCGTGCGACATGGAAAATTCAAGAGTTTTCTCTATATTTTTCGTAACTTAAGCATTGCTATTCTTCTTCTTCAGATCCAAATATGCGACACGGTGCCCTCGGAGGAGGCGTTCGATTCCCTGCTACGGTACATATACTACGGTGATACCAACATGCCTACCGAAGACTCGCTATATTTATTTCAAGCGCCTATTTACTATGGTAAGTTTCGCTTAAAAATTGTAGTAATGAATATTTTAGTTTTTAGTAAAAAAAACTTTCTCTAAGAAACTTTTTTTTTTCAATTAAAAATCACTCATTTATTTTCTATACCCTTAACAATGAGTAAAATTTCATGATATTCGTTTTAACAATTAAAGAATGAAAGTCTCTTGGTTTATACACATACATGCGCGACGCACGTATGTGAGTATGTTGTAGTTGCTAACCATTTGTGTGAATATCTCAAAATACCGTCTAGTTTTTTACTTGACCAATCTAATGAGTATCGATTTAATGTTTAGAAAAAGAACACGATCAACGTAAAATACACTAACTACATTTTATTTCTCCAGCAGTTGTGTTGGGTTTATTGAAATAGTCGTAATGGGCACACCTTTTTCTTCAAACAAAAACATCATCAATTTAAAATCGTACTTTCTATAAAAGCCGATTTACAACTATTTTGAACTATCAGTAATTATAAAAAAAACCATTATGTTTTTCGTACAGGTTCTCACTCTTGTTTCTCTCTATCTCTCTCTGTCTGTCTCCATCTCTCGCTGTTGTAAGAATTACTAGACTTTCGACCATTTGGAGTTTTGTTTCATTGACAAGTATAACTTGAACGGTCATTGTATAGAATTGTGTACCGTGGCAGATTAGAATATATACTGGACATAAAACAAAGGTTTTTTTTTCTCTGTTTGTCAGGATTCACAAACAATCGCCTGCAAGTATTCTGCAAACACAATCTGCAGAGTAACGTGACGCCGGAGAACGTGCTCGCTATACTGCAGGCCGCGGACCGCATGCGAGCCTCCGACATCAAAGAGTACGCGCTCAGGATGATCGCGCACAACTTTGGCGTCGTAAGACATTTCACTTTTGTACAATATATACCTATCTATTTATATTAGCACTATAGTCCATTCACGTTAAGAAAATAGTGACGCATCAATCGTTTCGTACGAATGCTTCAAATCTTTTCTTTCTTTAAATCATGTTAGTACTTTTATATTTTAAATATCTGTGACATACTACTAGTATGCTGCGTTTTATATAAGGTTGTATGCGTTTTTTCAAGTTGGTATGTGTAGGTTCTAGATGGGTGCTCTAGGTGCTGATGCCGCTTATACCTGGACAACAGGTCGTTTCTAGTGCACAGCTATATACCACGGGTGGGTTGCAGGTGGCGCGGCAGGACGCGATCAAGAACTTGGCGCAGGCGCTGCTGGTGGACATCATCCGCGCCATGGCCGAGCAGCCGCCGCCCGACGCGCCGCTGCTCCCGGCGCAGCCGCGCTCGCTGCCCTCCTCCTCCTCCGCCGACACGCTCACCGACGAGCCCGACGTGCCGCGCCACAGGTAAGTCACTAGCGCAGCCGCGCTCGCTGCCCTCCTCCTCCTCCGCCGACACGCTCACCGACGAGCCCGACGTGCCGCGCCACAGGTAAGTCACTAGCGCAGCCGCGCTCGCTGCCCTCCTCCTCCTCCGCCGACACGCTCACCGACGAGCCCGACGTGCCGCGCCACAGGTAAGTCACTAGCGCAGCCGCGCTCGCTGCCCTCCTCCTCCTCCGCCGACACGCTCACCGACGAGCCCGACGTGCCGCGCCACAGGTAAGTCACTAGCGCAGCCGCGCTCGCTGCCCTCCTCCTCCTCCGCCGACACGCTCACCGACGAGCCCGACGTGCCGCGCCACAGGTAAGTCACTAGCGCAGCCGCGCTCGCTGCCCTCCTCCTCCTCCGCCGACACGCTCACCGACGAGCCCGACGTGCCGCGCCACAGGTAAGTCACTAGCGCAGCCGCGCTCGCTGCCCTCCTCCTCCTCCGCCGACACGCTCACCGACGAGCCCGACGTGCCGCGCCACAGGTAAGTCACTAGCGCAGCCGCGCTCGCTGCCCTCCTCCTCCTCCGCCGACACGCTCACCGACGAGCCCGACGCGCCGAGGCAGGTACAAAAATGATACCGACCGATGTGTGATCCACAAATTGTTGTTCTGAGTCTGGGTGTTCTTTGTGTCCGTTTCTTGTATGTTTGTAAAGTCCCTCGCGACACAGGAATATATATTCCTAATGCGGGCGTTGTCTTTTTTTTTTTTAAAAATATATATTGACTAAACCTTTGATATTCGGAAACTTTTGTAATCCTACTAACATCAAGTTTTTAAATAGACTTATATTACTTCAAATTTCAATGTAGAATCTATTCTTTTTTAGACTCTGGAAAACAGAAGCTTCCATAAACCTCCAAATCACAGAGGAAAAAAAAATACTAATTACCCTAAACTATACTTGTAAATTGTAATTATTGTTTCAGGTGTGGAAAGTCATAAGAGAGAGTTCCAAAGCATTGGGCCAGACGGGCCAAAAGCTTGGGCCGAAGGATGGACTAAGGTACGAGAGTACACCTACTGTGGACATCCTCATGTCCGGACGCCCGCGGCATTTTCTAAGTGTACGATATAAGGACGAAACAGGTTGTGTTTAATAGCGAGTGTTAGTGTTATAAGATGACTGAGAAGTGAATGTCACATTGAATGTTGTCATATTAACAAGGTATTTGATTAAAATAAAGCACACCTCATTTAACCTAAGCAAAATTATAGGACAATGATGGGAACCATGGCACGTGGAAGGTTGACTGCCACATTCTAGAAACGTAGTCTACCGGGGAAGCTAATTGTCAAAGATACATTATAAAAACAAGGTCACAGTTTCCACGATTGAAAAAGCTACTGCAGGTGTAGCGGGTGTAAAAAGGTTAGGCTCAGGGCAGGGCTGCTGGAGTCTTCGAGTCGTAGTCCGGCCGTTAGTATGCGAGAGATTCTGAACTGCTCCATCAAAGCTTACATTCCCTAACCCCTAGGTTACCTTTTTACCATACACATATTTTAAAACTGTTGTAGTGCAATGTTTAAAGTTTCGTTATTTCAATAACACGTTATGTTTTCATTTTCTTTTAAAATATGTATCTTTTGAAAGATTTTATTATGTGTATGATCTTCAGTCGCAAATTTATACCTATTTATAAAAAAAAAAAATTTACACAGGGAATTCATTATACAGCCTGTATTTACTGTTTCTTTATCGTGATTGAAATGTAACTTTGTCACTATTGAACCAATCCTTCGTATTTTCTAAAGACTGTTGATTTATGTAACCAGAATTATATTTATAATAGAATATAATATTTGATTGATACTGTAAGTTGTGGCTGTGCATTAAAACTAGTGCAAAATTGTTATTATCTTGTGTCAACTCGTGTAGTCTTTCGAAGAAACTACATTTTATACTAAGTATATAAGTAGTTAATACACTACCATGTCAAGAAAATGCAAGCAATATAAAATTTGGCTTATTTAGTTTTCTTAGCTCTGAATCCAGAATCTCTATGGAATTATATTCACAAAAAGTAGGTTGTATCTTTTTCTGAACAAGATTCGAGTCTCATTCAAACTCTGTGCATGTGTGTGTATAGGGCAGTTTTACTACTTTAGAAACACAAAGCAACAATCAACAAACTTTTACCGAATTTTTAAATTACCTCCTAGTACTTTTATGACAGAATATATATCTGCATATATATAATAATCTAATATTAATATCTGCATATAATAATGTATTTATTCAATTTCGTATGTCACTTTCTAAAGCCCATAGCAACGGCGAGTAGCAATTAAAAGAATGGAGAACCTAACAATCAGAGCCTGCCGACTACAAGGTGTCATGTACACTTTACACTTGATTACTTTTGGTTAATTACATCACCAAACATCACATAAATGAAGCTTTATCAATGTGTTATAATCCAGTGTTGCTACCCTTTTGATATCATATTGACACTTCTTTTATTTGAAGAAAATTGTGTTTTGTATTTTATTGTTGCCATCTCTACTCAGCGATAGAGTTTAAAATTGAATTTTGGTAATACTTTTGTGGTCCAAAAATGAATAATCTTTTTCATTCAATGTAATATAGCTGTTTACTTACCCACTTCTGGACACAGACACCTATATTTTTCAACTGAGTTAGGCTGCTACTACTACTACTACTACCTGTCACTGTCGTATTTCTCTTTGAAAGATGTTACATGCATGCAAGAATTACATGTAGGTTGTTTAGAATGTTTTACTCCACCATTAATAAAATTACAATACACAACAATAACTATATTTTTTTAATTTATGTTGTACTATTAATCAACATGACATGTAGTATTAACATGTAAAATAACAATTAATATTCTTAAGTAATACATGATTGTTGAATCTTTAATTCAGTAATAATCCTCATACATTTTTAACCGACTTCAAAAAAGGAGGAGGTTCTCAATTCGACTGTTTTTTTTTTTTTTTTATGTTTGTTACCTCATAACTTTCGACTGGGTGAACCGATTTTGATGATTCTTTTTTTTATTGGAAAGCTGGTGCTTCCCGTGTGGTCCCATTTCAATTTGGTCTAGTTCTGACCTTGGAATCCATGAGAAAACCATTGAAGTCGGTTTTTTTTGTTATTACTTTTTATATTTATTAACTAATTTGACAAGTTCATGGTCTGAGGGCCCATAGAGTAGCACACCGCTCCCCATGTAAAAAATATGGACCAGGACTGTTAATGTGTTAAAATTGTTGGCAACAATAGTGTATATGTAAGAATAGCATTATATTTAAATGTAACATTAAATGAAAAAGTTATTTTCAAATTATCTATAGAAATTATCACTTTTTAGAGTGAACATTATAAGAAAAGCTTATTTTAATAAGTTGTCAATTTCTTGTTATCTAGTCATTATAAATGTTTAATAGGGGTAAAAATATAATAAAAACTAAATGATTTTAAATCAATGTAATCATATAAATTAACAATTATCTAATAAATTAATATTCTTAATGATTTCATTTATCCTTATTCATACTTGTGCTTGATGTCCTTCCAGAGTTTCTGTAACCAAACAAAGAACAATTAGTATAAACATTTCTAATAACTCTTGAGTTCTGCCCTGTTTCTGGCACACTCATCAATAAAGAAATTAAATAATCACATGTGAAATCTGATCTAGTATTTACATAACAAATACTGGGTTGCTGAAAGGATGAAGGAGGTTGATATTCATATTGTATTTGAACTCCATTTAAATATTCAAGCAAATTTGTCATAGCTAAGTTAATATTTTTCTAATCAACATGACAAATAATTTAAACTGATTTGACACCACTGCTAACTTCATAAGTTTCATTTCTTTATCAATAGTCTTTTGAAGAAGTAATAATTGTGTTCCACTAAGATCTATTAATGGACTTTTTATGCTCTGGTTTCTGTTATAGACATTAAATTCTACTTATTGTACCACTATTATATAAAATTTACAGTTACAAAGATTACTAATTTTATTAGTGTACCAAACACTTCTACAATAATAATAAATAATAGAAGTTACAATTAGTATAGTATAAGTGATGATTTTAGAGCTCACAACTTTATGTGGAAGACAAACAAAGTTGAAAAACTATAGGATTATCTACTATTCCCATCATTATAAAAAATGCCACTCAGACGCATATCTAAAAAAATACATACAAAACATTATACAGCAACTTGAAGAGAGACAAGTACTATTTGGTGCAAATATACTAATCTTCATTCAACCATCATACTTAAATAATAGGCCTTAGCTATGAAGTGAAATAGCACAGTATGTTACTGTGTAATCTAGTCAATGCATATACTCTACTATTTAATCGACAATAATGAACAAAAGCGGTTAAATTACATTAATATACAATTTAATTTCGTTAAATAGTCATGAAACTTTTTTGACTCACTTTAAAATAATAAAACTTTTTTACTGCGTTTTCATTTAATAATATACCCACATTTTAAAAGGATTTTAAGACACTAAATAATAAATAAGGAAGTTAAGAAGGCCTCTTCCTAATTTTGAAGAAAAGAGGTTACATAATAAAATACTCACTCCCTTGTTTATACTCTCGAAAATAGCCACAGAGATGACTTCGAAAGTTCTTTCAAAGAAGAAAGCTCCTGCCGCACCCGCTAAAAAGAAGGTGGAAGTACGTTTAAAAACAGTACGGTTTAATGTCGTCCAAAAAGACATTTTGGGATAATTATATAAAATAACTCTTAATGCTAGACACGCTGTGTCAAGGCGCTTACCACAAATAACATAGATAAACAATTATCGATCAGCCTGCCAAGACCTGTCAAAGTACTCCAATGTCTGGAACATTCTATTTCTAAATCTACAATAAAATATTTTTTATTTGAATCTAAAAATTACTTACCGTGTGTGATGTAGGCGGTATCAGAAGACATATTAAATAGGAAAATTGGTTTATTTTGCTAAAGTTGCATAATTATTTAAATGTTTTCTGTTGTCATTTACATGATTTACTTTAAATTTATTTTTTCTAGTAATACCTGAAATAATGCGGGCCATTTTCGATTCTCTCTAATGATTTTCCCATTGCATTCTTTTCTAAATAGTTTGAAATGAAACGTAAACCAGTTTTGTCAACTTTTGTCCTCAGATCAAATAAACAAGTCAAGATGGAACTTTGCGAAGAACGGTGACGCCGGTTTTACAAACATGTTTGCGTGGGTCGGTGCTGCCATCATTATTTTATTGAAAGTATTGGCTTCTACGCTTACTTATTTGTGAAATGCGATTAATTAAATTCATCCTATCTATCTATCTTTATTAGTTTTATTTTTACACCCATTTACAACACAATTCGGCACTTTTTACCCCACCGCTCCGGAAGGAGGGTTATGTTTTTCAACAGTATGTATGTATGTATATTTGTTTGGCACGCTCAGCGGCGAACGGCTCTATGGATTTTAGCTTGAGAGGTGTCGTTCGATTCGTATTTACTGTCAGAGTAACACTAGGTATTTCAAAATAGAAAACAAAATGGCGGATTTTTGGCACGCCTCTTTCACGCAGTCGGGTGTTTTGTTTTTTTTTTCAGTAATTAGCTTGTTACTTACTTGTACTTTTTTATTCATGACGGAATACGTAACATTGTTTACAACAAAACTTATCATTTTATGTTGTAAGTAATGCCAATTGAAATGTTGTAATAACAATCACTTCAATATTATTTTACAACTTATAAAATAATCTGGAAAGTATAAAAATGGAGGAAATTATGCAAGAGCTTCGAAAAATTCGAAGAGATTTAGATGAACAGAAAACCGCAGTAGAAAAAAGTGGGGAGAAAGTGACAGAAAAAGTTACGCAAAATATAAACTGCATATTGGAAGATAAGTTTAAACTATTCAATGAAAAATACGAACATCTAAGGGAAAAATGTGAAAATCAAGAAAAACGACTATATTTTATAGAAAAACAGGCAAGAAAAAACAACATCGTCTTTTTCGGAATTAAAGAAACAGAAACATCATATTCTAACCTAGAAAGTCTCATAGTGAACTTTATCAAAGAACACTTCTCTCAAGAACTAGACCGCAGGGATATTCAAGAAGTTAGGAGAATAGGCAAGAAAGGGGAAAGACCTCGACCAATAATTGTCACTTTTTGTACACTCGGCACAAAAATTAATTTGTTTAAAAATAGAAGTGCACTAAAAAATACCGGTTACTACATAACGGAAGATTTCCCACAAAATATCCTAGAGAAGAGGAAAGAGCTTCAAGAACAAGCAAGAATCGAAAGGGAAAAGGGAAATCTTGTAAAAATAAAATACGATAAGCTTGTCATAAGTGAAAGAAACAAAACAGCTGGAAATAACAAAAGAATGCTTTCAACTTCGCCTGAAAACAAAACCACAAAGGGAGCCGAAACTAACACACAGGTTTACAAGAAAAATAAATCACAAACACAAATTAGAAGAACTTCAAGCCTATCGGAAGGCACTTCAAAACCGGGCATGCTGAATTATCTGATCAACAGAAACACAAACAACTCATCAGATCTGCAGAAAAATAATAACGTTAAAATATAGCAATTACCGCCCCCCTCACGCAGCGTCAACATACACCAACCACTATCAGAATACCAAACTCATCGTCCAAGCCGGCTGGTAACCGTGGATGATCATGACCAAAACCCTCCAAACAACCCTCCAAAAAATGAAAAAACCTCACAAAAAACGTTATACATTCTGACATATAACGTTAAAACACTTTCATCATATGAACGTTTCTTAGAGCTAAACGAAGCGCTCAAAGAAATTAAATATGACATACTAGGTTTAGCGGAAACAAGGCGTATTGGAAACAAAATTGAAGAGTATGAAAACTTCATTTTCTGCTATACAGGCCACACACCTGGAAGACATGGCATAGGTTTTATAGTTAAATACCATCTTAAAAATAATATAGAAGGCTACCTCGGCCTTTCTGAAAGAGTAGCCATATTAAACCTGAAATTCGAGAATACCAGCTTATCAATCATTCAAGTCTACGCCCCTACTGCACAAGCTAGCGATCATGAAATTGATAAATTTTATGCAACAGTAAATAGGGCAATAGAACTAGCACACAAAGACTTCATACTGATGGGCGACCTGAATGCTAAAATTGGGATACCAAAAAATGAGGAACATTTAATCATGAAAGCACACGGATATGGAATTAGAAACGAGAGAGGACAAAGACTAATCGAATACGCCAGTGAAAACAAACTGTCCATTTTGAACACTTTCTTAAAAAAAAAACAAAAAAAAAATGGACCTGGCGATCCCCAGATGGAGGCAACAAAAATGAAATTGACTTTGTGCTGTCAAATCGTCCTCGTCTATTTAAAAACATAGAAGTACTAAACACTAACTACCCTTCGGATCATAGGCCAGTAAGAGCAACAATATCATATGACACACACTTCAAAAAAAACAGAACAAAGTTTACTAACTGTCAAACTAACACAATAACAAGCGAAGAAGAAATCACAAAGTTCAAAGAATACCTAAGCTCCTACATATCGAAAGACCAAATTTTCACTAAGATTACTGTCCCAGTCCAGGAGTATTACGACAACTTAATTAAAATCATCACCTCAAGCTTGCAAAACGCCCGAGTAGCACATAACCCAAAGAAAGTCCACAAAATAATTTCAGAGCGTACATTAAAACTTTTTAAAAGAAGACAAGACCTGCAAAAAAGTTCAAATAAAACTAGAGCAACAAGAAACGCAATCTCGGCCCTTTACAAACTTGTCAACAAATACATAAAAAAAGACTACGCCAAATACAGATATAAAACTATTGAAAAACACCTAAGCCAAACTGGAAGCACAAAAAAGGCATACAAAGAGCTAAAACCAAATAAAACCTGAATCGAAGAGCTCAAACGAGGCGATTTAACTAAAAACAACCGCGGCGACATTATTAGCATAGCGACAGAGTTCTACAGGGATCTCTATAGCACAAAAGAGCCAGAATGCAGCAGCCACGAGAACCAAAATAACAGCAGCGGCGGTAACACACTAATAAGACCCCAAATTGAAGAAAATGACGTTATTGAGGCTTTAAACAAACTGAAATTAGACAAAAGCCCGGGCTCGGACAACCTAGCAAACGAAACCCTAAAGATATCTGCCCCAATACTAGCTACATCCTTTACAAAATTATTCAACTCTATCCTCGAATCTGGAGAGACACCCACCCAATGGTCTGAATCTAACATAATTCTGTTATATAAAAAAGGCGACCCGAAGGATATTGGGAACTACAGACCTATAAGTTTGCTGCCGAGGGCATATAAGCTATTTTCTACTATCCTGACCAAAAAAATTAGCTCTACATTAGAAACAAGGCAACCTGTTGAACAGGCAGGATTCAGAAAAGGATTCTCTACCATCGACCATATTCACACACTCGAACTTCTCATCGAGAAATATCAAGAGAGAAATAGACCACTCGGCATATATTGATTACAAAAAAGCATATGATTCAGTGTCACACAACTATATCTGGGCAACTCTAACAACACAGAATGTGGGAAACGAATATTTAAGAGTAATCAAAAGCATATACAGGAAGAGCAAAAGTAGAAATAAACTAGAAACAACCGGTCCCTGGTTCCCTATAAAGAGAGGCGTAAGACAGGGGGACCCGCTTTCACCCATACTATTTATAGCCACATTAGAGTCTATAATAAGCAAGCTTGACTGGAATGAATGCGGAATAAAAGTAAAAAATAAATATTTAAGCCACCTACGTTTTGCCGACGACTTGGTGTTGATATCAGAGAAAGGAAAAGAACTACAGTACATGGTAGAGTCACTCAACAAAGCTCGCCGGACTAGAGATGAACCTCTCTAAAACTATGGTAATGACCAACAACACCAAGGTACAAATATACGTCGACAACGAGCCTCTCCAATACACTGATAAATATATTTACCTAGGCAAACAAATAAGCTTCGACAGATTAAACAACTACCAAGAAATTGAGCGCAGAGCCCAGTTAACATGGAATAAGTACTGGAGCCTTAAAGAAATATTTAAGAGCAACATGTCAATCAAACTGAAGACAAAGGTTATGAATTCTTCCCTTATACCATGCTTGACCTATGCTTGTCAGACATGGAAGTTTAACAAAAATATTAAAAATAAAATAATAACGTGTCAACGAGGAATGGAGCGGAGTATGCTAAACATAAAAAGAATAAATAAAATAAGGCATACAAAAATACGCAACATCACAAAAGCAACAGACGGTTTAGCACAAGCTCTTGCTTTAAAATGGAAGTGGGCCGGCCACATAGCACGCCTGCAAGATCAAAGGTGGACTAAAAGAGTGACAGAATGGAGGGGGCCAGTGGGAAAAAGAAAGAAAGGGAGACCTTCCATCAGATGGGAGGATGAAATCAAACACATAGCGGGCCCGAACTGGATACAAACAGCACAATCCAGAGAAAACTGGCTCAATTTGGAGGAGGCCTTTACCTGCAGAGGGGTTCTTACAGAATAATTTTATTAAAATAAGTTTTACTATATCTATGATAATAACATATCTAAAATTCTTTATATAAAACTGAAAATACTAACAATTAATCATTAAACTACAAATTTTTTTTTCTTGATACTAACAAAACTAATAAACTTGTAAATTAGCATTTTCTGTAAGAAATAAAAGGCTTTTTTATTTTTATTTATTATTTAAGTAATGCCAACCCTGTTTTTACGTGTGGACACACCCTCGGGCTGTCACCCCACCGGAATTTGGAGCTGGGTGGTATGTCGGAATCGCCAATCGGACCCACTAAAACCAAACGGTGTGCCCCGCTGCGCTTGTAATAGGAGAGATCCATGAACTGCTATTTTTAAGACATCCGGACCCCTCCTAGCGAAGTAACGCCGACCCCCTTTTTTTTTTTTTTACGTGTGGAAATTCCCTCGGACCGTCACCCCTCCGGGGTTTGCGGTGGGGTGGGATGTCGGACTCGAACCGACTAAAACCACACGGTGTGCCACTCTGCGCCTGTAATAGGTAGTAATGCCGACCCTAAACCAACCCATTTGGCCAGCGTGGTATAGTAGTCCAAATCCTCCTTTCTAAGAAGAGATCTATGTCCAGCAGTGAATTATTAAAGGCTGTTAATGTAATGTGATGTGAAGTAATGCCTAATATTTATACGTTTTATTTCTTAAATAACAATCTTCCGATGACATAATATTAAATGTCATCTAGTAATAATACGCAATGAGTAAAATATTATTATTAAAACAACTTTACCAAAGACAACAGATTACCTTCCCGCCAAAATATGTCTCTGTTCCCCCTCCTCTGAGAATGTTTTGTTCAATGTTTTCTATAAGCTATGCGAACCAAAAACATTGTTCAGTTGTTCACTCAATACCAATACACATTTAGACATTTGTTCAGGGAAACATTGTTTTGCATTATGTTTTGTTTCCTGTAAAACAGGATAACTTTTTTTTTACGCTACGGTTAAATACAATCATGGAGTGGAACAGGGAAACCATTTTACACTTTATAAGTTTAATAAAACAGCGACCTGCGTTTTGGGATTTTCAATCGCCTGAGTATAAAAATAAACGAAAACGCCACGAGGCTATTGAAGAAGTGGGATTGTTAATGGGCGTTACACCTAAGGAAGTTAATACGAAATGGATTATTCTACGAAATCAATACAGTAGGGAAAAAAGAAAAATTACAGGTCATTTGAATTTATGCAATTAAAAAAATCTAATCCAATCGTCAATATTGTGTTTCTTACGCAATCAAGTCATGTATCTACAAAACGAGAAATTAATTATGAACTTAACTTAAGAACGTGAGCGCAAACGTATTCTTATTTTACAATGTCCAGTTTTATTTTATTTTTGATACAATAATATAGAATAATAGTAATTGACTTCATATTTTATATATATGTTTAAAATATCGTAACTTTTAAATATGTAATTAAGTATATTAAGTAAGTATTACATACTTGTTAAATAATATAATTATACGTTAGGTGCTCTAACGAGATTACTCGGTAATGTTCAGAATATTAAATTCATTGAACTTAATATAAAACATGTTGCATGTTCATTTAAACATGTTGTCAAAACATTTTGAAAGTGTCTTGTTCTCTTACAAGATTGAAATGAGAAAATATTCGTTTGAAAATGTTAACCTCAACTGCATATTTGTTTTTCTAAAACAAAATACCTAAACAGCTTTTTAATATGTAGGTATGCAATTTTAGACCTAGCTAAATTGTATCAACCATGTCATTTGGGTTATGAAATTTGATAAATGTTAAACTATAATTAAGTAGGTATATTAATTGATATGGAAAAATTTCTATTTATAGCTCATTAGACACTTCCAAATAAGAATTTGACCACAACGAAAGATTTAAATATACATAAATACCGACCTAAGTATATTAATATGCTACGGACTTGGCTACGGATTGAAAATTTATTTGCTTGAGCTATTGCGCATTATAGAGTATTTACTAACGTATTTAATTAATTACCTACACTACTTTACAGAGAGCAAAGGCGACTCGCAATATACAACGAAATGGTATGCTTACAAAGAAATGGATGCCTTAATGGCGCGTAACAAACGACAAATTAGTAGCTTTTGGATGCAGGAAAGCAAATCAGAGGTAGGAAAACGTTTCCTTGGATACAATAATTATTATTTACTGCGTTTCAACTAGATCAGGTACACCCATAAAGCACCAGGGAGTTCCTTTCTAGGGTATACCTGTTTCCCCGGCTATTAGTACCCGAGACGGCGTGCGGTTTTAGTCGGTTCGAGTCCGACATGCCACCGACATCGGTGGTATCCGAGGGAATTTCCGCACGGTAAAAAAAAAAAAAAAACGGTACACCCATAAAAAGATAAAATAATCCAACTTGAAAAAAGGAGGTTCTGTATTTCGCGATGTTCTTAAAAATATTTTTTTGTCATTGTCCCGCTAATGTGTCTACATTTCAAGAAGTTTGAGTACAATTATTAGGTATTAAAATTTATTATTGTTACCTACATGCACTGAAATTAACATTTTAGGATAGACGCATAAACACTGTAAAATAGTATCTTGAAAATAGTCCCATTGCTGATAACGGTTATTTTCTTATGCTTACCTTCCTATTGGATGGAATCTAATTAAAATAATTTTATACTTACCTAATGGAGTCTCTCAATTATTCCGTAATTTATTGATAATACAAATAAATGAACACTTATCTTGAGGCAAAGAACCTAATATACTTACAGCTCCATTAGAATTTTGAAATCACAAATTTTTATTTAAAAAGTCCGACGTATTTACTTACACTTTTTACTGAATTGACAACAAATTCTTCGTAACAGTAATTTAAAAAACCTGCAATTTTACTTCCAAAAAGTTTGTAACATTGTGGAAATGCACATATTCTAATACTTACCAATCTTATATATAAAATTCTCGTGTCACAATGTTAGTTACCATACTCCTCTGAAACGGTTGGACCGATTTTTATGAAATTTTGTGTGCACATCGGGTAGGTCTGAGAATCGGCCAACATCTATTTTTCATGCCCCTAAATGACAAGGGTGAACCACTCCTAATTTTTTTTTTTCAATATTTTCTAGAAAAAATGTAGGTGTATGGCAAAACAACGTTTTCCGGGTCAGCTAGTATTATTATAACATAATATTAATAAAACAAGCATACTGTCAGACAGCATGGCCTCCTAAAAGCATTGGAGCAGCTTTCCACATTAAATGGGGTACTCCTTCAATGGATTAAAGGGCACAGTAACTCACACGGGAACGATGTCGCAGATGAGTTGGCAAGGAGGGGCTCGGCAACCCCGGCTACCGGCCTAACTATACTCTTGCCAATACCGTTTAACCAAATACGATTCTGGGCCATGCAACGGACTCGTGAAGCACATGACCGGAGGTGGAAAAACTCACCCGGCTGCACAGTCCAAACTGGTGCTGACTCAAGTCACACCACGACTCACCTACAGATTGATCAGTCTTAGCAGACTGGAAATCCGAATAGTTGTCGGAACTATAACAGGACACCTAACCCGGAACCGACAACTATTCATCATCAATGTGACGGAGAGCCCTCTGTGCAAGGGTTGTCTGGAAGAAGAAGAAACGGCCGCCCACGTATGCGAGGGAGGGTGAAAAATCGCTCCTAGAAGCCTGTTAACGCCTCAGGAGGCTTCTGCGCTTCTGGAAGGAGCTTGGTTGGCAAACCAAGCGCCTTCCTAGCTAGCCAGTCCTCTACGTATAAAGGACCACTCTAGGTCTAAATGCGGAAACCGAAGCCCACAACCACCACCACTCTGTATTTTTTTTTTTAATTCCCTTTAAATTTTCTTGATTTCGATACCCTACTGGATAGGTTTGGATATTTTTTTTAATTAACCTATTATTATTTTACGGCAAAATCCTCTATTTTCTTTTTTCTTTCAAAAAGCCACCTAGGAACACTTGGGTTTTTGAGAAGGATATAACAATACCGTAACTGTCGAAATTCACCCAGTCATTTGGAAGATATCAGGGTCGTAAAGAAATTAACAAACATACAAGATACGTGGGAAAAATATTACCTTCCTTGGCAGTCGGGTAAATATAAAACTACCAATTCGATATTGCTAATTTGTTCATTTCATTACAGACAGAAGACTCTTCCTGTAGTTCGCCACCCCCACCGTCTCCACGTTTATCAGGTTCTGCAAATCAACACAGCCACACGGACTGTGTAACTCAAAGTTCATCAATATATAATAAAGCAATTAAAACATTAAAAGCTATAAGAGAAGCAAAGAATGATAGTATAAGCGACGAATTAACAAATTACGGATTATATATTGCAGCTCATTTGAGAAAACTTTCACCACCATTGCAATCCAGAGCTAAATATGAGATTAATAAAATATTATACGCATTAGACTTAGAAAGCTTGGGGGAATATAGTGCTGCAACTCTTAATGCAGACAGTGACGATATAATTATAACGAAAGAATGTAAATTTGATCCACTTGAAAAGGATTGATTAATATTGGTTAAATTATTTATGACTTTTATTTTGTCTCCTTCAAACCAGACTGTAGGTGCTCTGTTTCCGTACAGTCATCATCCTCATCAACAGCCTTTACTAGTCCACTGCTGGACATAGGAGGACACACATCCTCTCCTTAGAAAGGAGGTTACAATACGTTAAGTCAATTGGCTGTGCTAGTACAGTTAAAAAAAACACTTGTGCACTCAAACGTATGTTTTCCGCATTGCCGTTACGCTACACAACAGTTGTTTTCAGCACTCGTACGTTACACTTATTTTATGTGTTAGCAGCACTCCTCTACGGAGCACAAGGGGTGAGGATTTTAGCACGCTCGTATGTAATAGCAGTTATAAGGAACACAACAGTTGTGGATGGCAAAAAATATCCGTGTTTTATCAGTACTGAAGAAAGTTTTTATAAACACTGGGTGTGTTTTCAGCAGTGAAGGAGTGTACCCGCACGCGAAATCACTAAGTGTATAGACACCAAGTAATAGTGCTAAAAAAAATTGTTTTGTTAAAAACGAAATATTAATCTAACCTTGCACTCCGAGTCACCGGATTATGACTATCGCCGTCCATGAACACCTGCAACTCGACAGTCACGCATTGCTAGCCTTAGTGTCCTCCTAGAACTTGGTGGGGGATTTAGACTGGTAATCTTTGCACTTTTATATTGGACTCATACAATAAAACACTTCATATATTATGATGAAAATAGGGGATATATTTACAACTATGTATTAAAACAATATGATGACTCATGAACAATACTTTCTATAAATAATAATGAGTAATGGCGTGTTACAATCACGCTTAAATAAAAACGCCATAAATGATATTGTACAAACATTGTGTACGGAATGATAGCGTCGGCAACCAGTATCGAGTTTAGTATTCTACATGTGATGACTCTGACAAATAAAAATATTGAACTTAGCAATTTAAGGTAATTTCTGTTAACTCTTAAAAGATGCAAAGTAAAATAAATCTCAAAATATTACATACTGTGGTTAAATTAGACTCAGTCCGGAGTTTAAAATACACTTTGTGATATTAATGGTTGAATATGTCTTCTGTTCGAGAATAATAAGGGCCTCCTACCATAAGAACTGATCATAAGAAGCACTATTCAGTGACCATGTGATAAACTTTAACGTTGGGGTAGACAGCGGGCGGAGCGGCACGATCACGCAACCGAATGCCGAAGAATTACATCTTCTAAACTATTATTACTTGCTTATGCACGTCACTCGCCCGCCCCACCCGCATGTTGTCTTGGCCTTTAAGCTAGTGTATGGAGGCCCTAAAAACTAATTCATAAGACAGGACTGCAAGAAATACGGAGAATACAAACATCAACTTTTATTTTTGATTGCATAAATAACTTTCAATCCGAAATGTATGTTTACATATAATTTTTAAATAACGAAATCATACATAAAAATTGCGCATTACATTTTCCTTGCGCTGTTTAGTTAAAAAATATAAATAATAGCGATTTGTTTCAAACTTATTATAAGAAAGACGTTACAGGTAGGATAGTATATGTTTAACATCTTTTTTCATGCATAAACTGAATAATATAACACTTTAACAACTAAAGGTATATGCGACAAATAAGGCCTTTTCGCATAAATAATGTACACAAAATGCTATTGTTGTAAGCTACCCATAAACTACATTTAACACTTACTCATTGGTCTTTCTCTGTTTACATTGATTCGAGAACTTTACATTTCATATAGCACTTAAATTGGAGATATTTCGCTTTAAGGCGAATGTAGGTCATTCCACATTATAAAACACCGCTTTCAACACATGGAGCAAAACATTGTTATTGTCTCGAATAGGGTAAGGTATGGTGAGAGTCCGCTATCCACAAGCCTCCATATTCTACCTAACGAGCACTCGGGAAGTCGGGTGCGGCCCGCCCCAGTACAGCGGTTTAACATAAAACTTGAACAAATAACCATACTGTTTGTCAACACTGAATCCCAGGTAAAGGCTTCTGAAGCTAAGTATTCCATTATATTGCAATAATATTTTTATTAATTTAAAGTTTTGTTATTGGGGTGAAACCTAATTTTTTTCCTTGATACTACCCACGTTAGGTGTCGCGTCGCGTAGACCGGTTTACAAAATAGGCTTTTGAAAAGTTTAGGAATGTGGATATTATTAATTAATTAAATTAACAAGTTGCTAGTTATGTTGATGTGTGAGATTTTACTTGAATATTTCAATTCTATGAATCCTTTGATTTTTATGGGACAATTCAAATTAGTACACATTCTTTGTGTACATCACACACGTTGTAGCAGACTGATTCTTAGTGATGGAATAATAAAACTAGGTAAAAATATAACATTTTCAACCATATACGATCTTGCTTACATACTGATAAAACAAAATATTTTGATAAAACTGTATAATTTATTCTGAATGTGTGAAATCATTAGCTTCACTTTTTTTAGTGAAAATTTCAAAAAGGTTTGAATAATGTGAAATATTAACCTAACTTCTTTAATTAATAATATTTACTTAATACTGAAATTATATATTTTTTAATAACATATAAACAAGTGTACTTTAGATTTACTGGCATGTTGGTTTGGTAGCTCTGTGACCCTGACTGTTAAGCCATAGGTCTTGAGTTCAATTCCCACACAGAACAAATATTTGTGTGATTAGAATGACCATTTGTTCTATCTGAGTGTCATTTATCTATAATATGTATTTAGAAAAATATAGGTATATTTATCAGCAGCCTGGTTACCATAGCACAGGCTCTGTCTAGTTTGGAATCAAACTGAAGTGTGTGAGATGTGTAAAGTTATTATCATTATAAAGGCACCTTGCTCTATTGTAGACAGATAATTTGCCTTCACCCAACGAAAAATTTAGCTCCGACAATATGTTGCATGTATGTACCTAGTTTTATCGCCAACACTTTCTGATATGTATAAAATAGTTTTGGGATAACTCACTATTATTTTAATAACATAGATATCATTTTTATGAACACAAATTGTACAACTGTGGGTCCGACCCTCATACGAGAGTAAGATAGCAAATAGTATAACCCTGAAAAGTCTCCTAAAAATAAATTTGGAATTTGATTTACAGAATACTGTCAGAAACAAACCATTTTTAAATTAAAAAAATATAAATATCTTACTGGTTTTTTCATAATATGTGACAGTTCATTAATTGCGAGCATACTTGGTTTAAAAGAAAATAACTCTATAAAACTTATATCAAGTTTTGTGAGCATAATTTCGTAAATTAAGAATTAAATTACATGAATTAATTTTTATATCCTCATAAAGAGAAAATCCCATGTGGTCGACTACGCGACGTATACGCGTGAGTATTTTAACACTGGAGTACTGGCCAGAGCAGCTGAAATTCACTAAGTTATGCAATATTTTTTATATTAAAATCCACCCTTTTACCACAAATTGTACCTAGAACGTAAGTTTATAATACCTTTTATAAGAAATTGGTGTTATCATTTAGTTTTATAATTATTTCAGCCTTCACTGACTTGATTACGCCAATGCATTAGCGTGTCGGATGAATTATGGACGTTAGAAGCAATATACACTCATCGTGTCACCCATAATTCATTACTATTCAATGATTATCAGTTAATAAAAATAATATTAATGGTATACTCCCTTACTCTAACATTCGTCCGACTTTAACTCCATCACAATAATTTTGATAATTAGATTACACTCATTCATTAACTAGGCATCCATAATATTCTAATAATTTTTGGAGTAAATAACCATATGTACATGCTCTTAAAATATGAGATTGTTCGACCTAGCAAGTTGTTGCAATGACTCACCCCTATACACACTAGCTCTTGACAATATACATTTGCTCATGAGAAAAAAAGATTGTCTATGTTACATTTCATTTATTTATTTAGTATTATTATTTTATTTAGTAGCATTAAATATTGGCATTTGGTGCAGTGGTTAAGTATTCGGAATGTTAACTTTAAAATATTTTTGTTTCTATTTTGTGTAAAAGTAATACACCTTTGCTTAACCTTTACAAAATGCAGACAAGATATTAAAAAAATCATAATTGGTGTAAACTAGAATATTAAATGCTGTATACAGACACTTGCATTAACACTTAACAAAACGCAAAATTGCACTTTTGTAACAATTTCCTTTGTTTAGGCTGCATATCATCAAGCTCCCTTATAAGACAGATTGTTTGTTACCACATTCTACGATTGTAGTCTAACCTCTTATCTTAACCTGCTAGGCGGCTAATCTCTCCATATTTGAGCATAGAGAACATTGTCCGTGGCACAATGGCGTCGTGTATACCACTAGCAACATTTCTTTTTAGTTTTATGATTCTTCTTTAAGTGTACCGTGTCATTTGATGTCACATTTTGCCTCTCCTTCATTTCGAGCTTCGATTTTAGGACCTGAAATTTTAAAATAATATTTTTTATTTATCATGATCAAGAGTCATGCCACAGAACATCTGGCGATGCACATTTAAAAACTTTTTCAGCACAATAGCTCAATAAGGTTTTTAAGTGGCACTAACCAATTATTTTTAATGTAATAATAAAGTAATACATTACATACACACATTGAAAACCTTTATAGGTCATAGATTGATTGGTTTTTCCTTTACCAAAAGAAGGGATTTCTTTTGTAGTTCATCCACTAAATGATGATGCATGTGAGTTACTCAAATTTAAATAACAATCAATTGAAAATGCAATGCAACAATTATTTTCCTTGGAAAAACACTGTAACGTGAGTAGACAATTATTAAATAGCTAATCTTAATTATGTAATGTGTAAATTGTTATTAGTCAGGACTGTACACAGAACAAGTAAAAATATGAGATGATTCACAAAAGACGATGTTGGTAACATAAATCTGAGAACTAAAAAAGTACGACAAACCTATGATTACTGCTATTCAACAGTGATCACAAAAGAGTTTATC